TTGAATCCTCTGGACTCCGTTGTCCATGTTCTTTCATTTGGCAACTCAAGCTGTCATAATAATGAGAGCCCCTACTCTGGTTGTTCCAGTATTTTATTCTTCTTTAGCACCATAAACCCTGCTTTTTAGCTGAATACCTTTGGCCTACCTGAGCTAAGACTATTCCTCTCCCCAGCCTTCTTTGTAGGTAGATGTGGTCATATGACTACACCCTAGTCAATAGATAAAATTAAATGTGACTTCTGGGAAGTGTTCTTAAAAATAGAGGCATGCTCACCAAAGCCAGTTTTGCTCAGTGGATAGAGCATCGGCCTGTGAGGACTAAGGTCAAGGATTTGATTCCAGTCAAGGGCACATACCTGGTTGCAGGGCCTCTGGTTGCACGTACCTAGTTTGGGTGAGTGCAGGAGGCAACCAATCGTTGTGTCTCTCTCACACGATGTTTCTCTTTGTCTCTCCCTTTCCCATCCACTCTCTCTAAAAATCAATGAAAAAAATACCTTCAGGTGAGGATTAACAAAAACAACAACAAAAAATAGAGGCATGCTCTTCTTTTACCCTTTCCCCTCTTCATTGACTGGAAAACAGATATGATGGCTAGACTTGAGCAGCCATCTTGGACCACGAGGCAGAAGCTGCTCATTAAGAATGACAGAGCGATACTAGAAGGCCCTAGGTTAGAAGGAACTACACTATACTGGGAAGGGAGTTTGGGGACAACAGAGAGAAATAAGTTTTTAAATTGTCACTATAATTATCTTTGTCATGCATATTTACATCCTTATTGAGGCGTAATGGACAAACAAAACTGTGAGATATCTAAAGTGGTTTGATATCTGTGTACAGTGTGAATTAACTCCCCCATTGAGTTAATTAAAACATCCATCACCTCACATATTTACCGTGTGTGTGCGTGCGTGTGTGTGTGTGTGTGTGTGTGTGTGTGAGAGAGAGAGAGAGAGTTGTCAGGCGTATCTAAAATTTAAAAAAAATAAATAAATTGTGCTTTCTTTTTAAATATGTTTTATTAATTTTACACAGAGAGGAATTAAGAGGGACAGAGAGTTAGAAACGTTGATGAGAGAGAGTCATCGATCAGCTGCCTCTTGCACACCCCCTACTGGGGATATGCCTGCAACCAAGGTACATGCCCTTGACTGGAATCGAACCTGGGAACTTTCAGTCCGCAGGCCGACGCTCTATCCACTGAGCCAAACTGGTCCCGGCGCGTATCTAAAATTTAAGGGCTGACCTGGTAAGGTTAATTTCTGTAGGTGATCCTCCTCTGCATAATGGGACTAATAATACCCCCTCTCCCCCACCCCCCAGCCAATACTTTGAGTGAGATTATACTGTATCTGTCTTTTTCTGATTTATTGCACTTAGAAACAGAACCCAGGAATTTTGGTGTCCCAGGCTTCTGAGCTCAGTAGCTTATTTGAAAAGAGTCGGACCTTAGATACAACTTGCCTTTTTTTGTTGGTAGCTGTTGTCACAAGGGAAGTAGACATAAATCAAGGTATATTTATGTTATAGAAGTCCTTTCTCCAAAGCCCCATTCCACATCTACTTTCTCCATGAGACCTCCCCTACCCATTAGATCTATAGCAGGTCCCCGCTCTCTGAGCGCCTATAACACATCTCAGGCTTCGCTCTCAAATATGGCCCCCAAGTGTCTGTCTCCTGCGTGTTTTTAATTAGACTGTCGCCTCTCAGAGGGCAGGGTGTGCATCCAAAAGTCCCTCATAATGATGAGCATGTGCTGGGCACAGGGGATGCATCAAAGCGCTTGTTAAAATGAACGAGGAGCCCTAACCAGTTTGGCTCAGTGCATAGAGAGTCAGCCTGCGGACTGAAAAGTCCCAGGTTCGATTCCGGTCTTGGTTGCGGGCACATACCTAGTAGGGCGTGCGCAGGAGGCAGCTGACCGATGTTTCTCTCTCATCGATGTTTCTAACTCTCTATCCCTCTCCCTTCCTCTCTGTAAAAAAAAAAAAAAAAAAAAAATCAATAAAACATTTAAAAGGGATGAACAGGGAGGTTTTATCCCTGTGGACAAGACAAGGCAAGTTTCCTCTGGATGACACAGGAACAGACTTATTTGAAATGGGCATTCCTAGCGAGTACTAAAGATTCGAGGCCCTTAGGCCTCAATATGGGATATACAGTATTATTTTTCTTCTACTGAAATATCCCCTTGCAAATAGAAGTCCCACAGGACCAGAGGTACGGCTGAAACTGGACAGACCAGATGCTGGGATAGCCAGATTTATTTATAAGCCTGGGCTCCAGGGAAAGAAGAAACTTGTCAATTTCACTCTTTGCTTGGATCTAAAGATCGAGCCTGGCAAAGAGACGCTGTTTGGGACTCATAGTGCTCTGCAATTTCTAACCTTTTCTGGACTTGGGAGAAGAAAATGCATCATTTGAACGATGGCCATGGTTTCAACAGGACCTGCATGCCAACCAGAGGGAAAGAAAATACTTGCTGAGCAAAGTAACTGGAAAGCGGTCGCTCATATTTTAAACTGAGCTATATGGTTGCAATCCAGACTAATGTAGACTTTTGGACCAGAGACTACTTGGAAGTAAGTAGTCTGGCTGGGAAGGCAGCATGTGGGTTGTGGATGGAAAGGACTATTGCAATGCCTTTTCCCTGGGCAGTTGGTGCTGCCAGAGACTGGGGGCCATCTCAAGCATATTTACTTACTCCAACTGATTTCTCAATAATTCCAGCAACAAAAAGAAGTTGACCAGCCAGAGGAGGGTACATATAGCCAGGTGGTAGAGTCAGGACAAACCTGAGCCCAGCGGTAACATTTCCATCCTGCCGAGCCCTGGTTGGGTAAACACTCAGGTGGGCACACGGGAATTGATGTGAGTGCTGCATGAGGCACAGCAGTACTGGACACGTGTCACAAGGCCAGCTGGGCGGGTTCCCAGGATGCCAGGTTGCAAGGGCTGTTTCCAGGAAGGACTGACCCTCGCTGTTTCCACGCTATTTCCCTGGAGCTCAGTGGAGCTCAGCAGTCTCAGTTCCCTCACAGGCAGTGAAGAAATCTCGAATGTCATTCACCAGCCAAATGAAGGCAGGCAAGTCACAATCTCATAGAGGTCCGTTTTCTTCCAGTGAAATTGAATCTATTTACTACTTGCCAGATGGTGATACTCCCAATGTAATCATTCTAAGGGCTTTATATACTACATCTTTAAAAAAAAAACAAAAAACCTGAAAACAAATCATGAAGTGAATGGTATTTTTATCCCTTTGACAGTGGGGAAAATTGGATCCCAGACAAGTAAAGTGACTCATGCAAGGTTATACCACTAGGTGGCAGACCCAGGATTTGAACTCATCCTGTTTAGCTCCAGAGAGTAGGTCTGACCACCGCACTATGTCCCAGCAGAGGCAGCTAGGCAGTTCTCTTAGAGGTGTTTTTTTTTTTGTTTTTGTTTGGAGAACTACACGTATGCTGTTAGTGCCCCGGCATCAAGTCCAGGCTTTTCGGTCTGAGGGTGCCGGGGAGAGCTGAAGCCTTTTAAGGGGGGAGTGGTGCAGTCAGGCTTGCTCTCTGGAAGAATAACTGACTTCAGGGTGGGATGCTTGTTCATACAACCCAGGAGGGAAGTCGTAGGGGGCAGAGCTAACCTTTGTCAGGGCCTCACAGGCCCAGACAAGGAGGAGTTAAGCGTTGGTGCTGCTTCTAGTCTGGCCGGGAAAAGAATTTTTTTCTTGTGAAGTGGGTGGTCCATACCAAAGGGAGTGAACTCTAAGGGCTGTGCCCCACACAAAGAGAGAAACCTGGCACCCTGGGCGAATGTACTGGTTTGGAACTGGTGTGAACTGTCCTATCCAAGTGAGTCAGACACCTGGGAGAGGTCTCCCCTCCCTCCTCTGACCTATCTCTGGGGTCTTTGCATCCACAGACTCTCTCTCCCCCACCAGGAGACCCGGCCCCTCTGACCCCCTCTCCCAGGGCTCCCAGGCCACACAGTGGCTACTCCTTGGCCCTTCAGCTCAAGGTCGGGGCCCGGAATGCCTGGGTTCCAATCTCAGATCCACCATAGGCCACTGGTGGGCCATTATTCCATACCCAAGGGGCCCTCCCAGGAGGCAGATGCTCAGCAGAGCTTCACCTTGTCTCTCTGATACTTGTCTGGTCGTGGGACAACCTCTGTAGGACTTGAGTGTCACCTCTGGAAGCTTCTTTGAAAGAAGTTAATGTGCCCACTCCCCACTCCCCTCTCTCCACGCCAGTAACAGCCTACCCTGTAGGGGTCATCCAGTGACTTCCCAGTTCTTCCTGGTGTTGACACAGCGGGTAAGCAGATTCCTTGGCGCCTCAGCGCCCCAGTACCCTTATCAGAAAAATGAGGCTGGGAGACATTCCCTGCCTATTTCACTGGGCTGTTGTGGCACCGGTGCTGAAACCTATAGGTGCCTAAGGCATTGCTGTTAGCTCTCTGAGGCTTCCTGGGACAGACAGCAGGGCGGGCAGAAAGTTCCTCTGGATCCGGGTCTCTGCCAGAGCCCACTGCAGGGGACCAACTGTGTGTCCTTCCTCTGGGGTGGGGGGTTTGACCGCGAGCCGCCCCTCTCCCTTCTCTCCCATTGGTCTTCACCTGCCAGAGGGGCGGCTGTTACGGGCCTCTCGGCCCGTCAATCAGGGCCCCCGGGCTCCGCCCCGCCCCCCTCAGGGGGTTTATAACGGGAATTCCCATGGCCCGGGCTCTGGCAACCAACCTGCCGCTGCCGGGACCGGCCCAGCAGAGCGAGCGGCCGCCGCGCGCGGAGCACACGCTCGCGCCCCAGCTGCCCGCTTCGCGGTTCATGCCCGCGCGCCCCGCCCGCAGCCCCCGCCAGCCCGCGCTGCGCCCCCGCCGCCGGCCGCCCCCCGCCCCCGCCCCCGCCGGGGCCCCCGAGGGAAGGAAGGCAGCGAGGCAGGCGCGGCCGTGCGCCCGGCGGAGCCCGCGACCCCGGCCCGCAGCCCGCTGGCACCATGCTGCCCGCGCGCGGCGCCCGCCTGCTCACGCCCCACTTGCTGCTCGTGCTGGTGCAGCTGTCCCCGGCCCGCGGCCACCGCACCACCGGCCCCCGGGTAAGTGCGCCCCCCGCCGCGCCTACCTGCCGGGGGACACCGGGGTCGCTCGCTCTCATCCCCGGGGGGCCGGGAGAGGGGGAAGGGGGGAGGGGGAAAGAGGAAGGGAGGTGTCAGACCTTGTCTCTCCCCCCCCTAGTCCCACCCCCTCCCCAGTCTCCCGAGGGCTTCTTGGCGAAGTTGCTGAAATAAAAATTTCTCCCATTGTCTGTCCCCCGCCCCCAGCCCTTTCTTGCAGCAGCGACTCTGCCTAGACCCCCGGAGCCCGAACTGTCACTGATGATGGGTCTTCTTCACAGGTCTCTCCTCCCGGGGCGTCTCGCTCCCGCTGCTCTCCGCCCCGGCGGGGCTGCCTGCGGTCTCACGCCTCGCCCGCGCCCGCTCCCGGAGCGCTGGCCTTCTTGGCAGGCGTGGGGGGGTGGGGGTAGCTCTGCCTCCAGCGTTTTAGGTTACCCGAGAGCCACACAAGGACCTTGTGTTGTTTTTAAAAAGCGATCGCTGCTCGTAAAAACCCACAGCAGATAATTTTAATGCGCCCTCCTGCTGGCTACAGCCTGGAGGAGGCTGGGGGAGGGGGGGGGGTTGGGGGGGGGGAGGGCGCTGTGGCGAGGTGGTAGAAAGGAGGTGCGCAGCTTGCAAGGGTCTCTTCCCCCCCCTTGGGGCTTGGGGCTTGGGGCTGGGAGCTTGGAATCCTTGTTGAACCTTGGTCTGATTGGAGATTCTGAACGATGTGAAACGTGCCAATTCTGTGCACAGGACAGGCTGTACAGGGCATTGTCAGCTCTCCTGGAACCAGCAGGCAGCATTGTATCCATTTTTTTAGTCTAGATTATTCTCCTCCACCTCCAGCCCCCAAATGGCTCTAATGAAGAATTCCACTGCCTTAAAAAGTAGTACTAAACCACCTCGTTGTTCATGTGACCAAACAACTGGCCAAATTGTATTCAGACAATCTCCGGCCAAGAATTAGCTTAGGGCTGGCCCGTGGCCTCTCTGGGTAGCTGCTCGCTCCCGTTGACATCTTGGGAGTCCACGAAGTATAGCGAGGACCTTCGTAAAAAACCAAGTTGGCTCCTTAATCAACGCGTGCTTTCCTGGCTATCCTTAGGCCTAGCCTCGTGACCACCTGTTCACATGGCAGGTTCTTTATGCGTAGCTCTTGCTATATGAGAATCGCCTTTATGGCTGTCGTGTGGAGAGCAAAAGCCTTGCAAAGTTTGACGAGCTTTCACGACTGCCCAGATGCTGGCTGATTGCATCCGAGCCCGGCTATCACTGCGAGATCAGATTTGCAGCCACTTAGGAAAGAAAAGTGTTTGTCCCCGTGTTGGGCCGGCCCTTGCTTTTATGACCAGATGTGCAACAGCAGCAGTTAAAGTGCCGCAGATTAGATCCAGGGCGTGTCATAAATCCTCGACAGCAGGCTTTTCCAAAGCCGGGGCAAGTAAGGGCTCCGGGAGTGACTTTTATGGATGCAGTTGAGGATGCCTTTTAAATGAAGCTGCTCGGTTTGATATTAGGACCCGCAGCTCTTAAACTCGGAGGTCAGGAGAGCCATGGCGTTCCCTCCAATAATTAGGAACAGTCAGGAAAGAGATGCAGACCAGAGCACCCCGACTGAAACCTGGATTGCCCGCCCACACGAGGGGCCTGGAGACAAATGGTGGGGGGCTTATTTGCCGCTGGGCATGTCTAGCATCTTAAGCCATATGGCTCTCCTTCCCGGACTCCTGAAATCGGAGGAAGCAACTTTTAGGGGAAAGGGCAGGGTATGGGTTAGGTTTCCCTCCAACGTCTTTAGTTTTCAGTCCCATAGAAGTGAGAGAACATACATAGGAACGGTGACTGGGCTTGTGTGTGTCCCACCTGCACCTCTCCCCACGCACACCCCCTCCCCACGTGTGTGTTGAGAAAATACCCAGGGCAGGCTGCTGTCCCGAGCATGTGGTTCCCTGAGTGCATTTATAGGCAACCACAAGGCTACCCTTTATGAATGCTTGGGATGGCTTATGCTCATAAGAACCTTTTGCACGTGAGACCCAGGGAGGCAACACCTCTTGCTTGAAACACTCACGGGGCGTTTGCAGCTTTGGGAGCCGAAGCACGGTGTGTGTGGGTTTACAGGTTGCGTGCTTGCCGCACCACCAAGCAGCTGCAGGGAGTGTGCCTCACACCAGCGCTGCCGTCGCTGTTAAAGGCAGAGGTAGCTCAACGAGAAAGTACCGAAGCCAGATGCATCAGGCGAGTCTGTAAGAGAGAGTTAGACACAATATTTTTGGATACTAAGGGTGCTGTCTTTGAGCTTCGACCTACTGCAAAGACTGCACTTCTCTCCTGTGGCTCCTTGGTGGCCTGTGAGGTGTGATTCTGGTGGCGAGTGGCAGTGTCAGAGGAGGAGCAGAAACAGCTGGTGTGCTGCAGTGTTCCCTCGGGCACCCCTCGGACTCTCCTGTTAATCTTTTGAGTGACAGAAGCTTAAGGATTGGCATCTTTTCCAGCTGGCTTTCTAGGAAACCGAGAGCACGCCCTTTTGGTTTAACTTTATCTGGCTCACTAATTGAGCTCCCCTGAGGCCTAGACCCCAATCCGTGCCCCCTCATTTGCTTCCTGCCTTCATAAAATTCCTGACATTTGTCTGACGCTGGAAACCAGCCACGATCGGGTATCAGATGGGAGGCTATTATGTAGGAAGCACCTGAGTATTTTGGTCTCTCAGCTCTGAGCAGCACGGATACCTGGGACATGGTTAGGATCCTTTTAATGACCAAGGAGGCAGCCATTTCTTTCTTTTTAATTTTTAATTTTCTTATTTTATATTTTACTGATTTTTTACAGAGAGGAAGAGAGAGGGACAGAGAGTCAGAAACACTGATGAGAGAGAAACATCAATCAGCTGCCTTCTGCACACCCTCTTTGGGGATGTGCCCGCAACCCGGAATCGAACCCGAGACCTTTCAGTCTGCAGGCCGATGCTCTATCCACTGAGCCAAGCCAGTTTTGGCATCAGCCATTTCTTTAATCCTGTAAAATTTACTGAAAATGTTTTATAGGGAGGATGGGATTGGGGGGAGGGGGAAGGTGGCAGGACTCTCCGAGGCCACTAGAGTCTGGCTGATGGTCAGGCCAACCCAACTGCCCGTCTTTGTCTGATCCCCTCTCTGCCCTTGAAACCCGGGAGCTGAGTGAGGGCAGGAACCGTGCCCATCTTGTCTGCTGGTGTCTCCCCAGAGCTCAGCACAAGGGGTTGACTTTGTAGGTGTTTGTGGAATGAACAAATAAACACATGTTTCATCAAGGCCTGTGGGTACTACTTTTCTGGTGGTGGAGGCAGGAAATAGATGGAAGAAGTTTGAGAAATATGAGAGAATGGGAAGGTCCAGAAGACTGAGTAAGACATTAAAAAAAAATAGTTTTAGGTCTATTCTCTATTTGTCCTGCCTCTTGTTGCTTACGTGGTTCATCCTGCAAAATCCAGCTCCCACGTCACTCTCTAGGAGCTTCCCTACTGGAAGCATCATCACACTCACCTCCTAACAACTCCTGTATCTGGTGCTCGTGTGTTCTAACTTCTGCTAATCCTTCCACAGTGAGCATCTTGAAATCAGGCCAGCATCTGCATCTTTTTAGCCCTCACCGGCCCCTTCGGCACTTCATGCATGATCCTGTCTTATTAAGTGAACAAGCTCGAAAGACCCTTGAGGGCAGAATAGAGATCTTATTGGTCACACTGCCAAGCGTTCTGTAAATATTTACTGCAATGAATTGGACTGTGCAGTGATTTCCAGGCTGGACCCCCTGCTCTCATGTGAACCTGAAATTGGTTACGTACAAGTGATTTCTTTTCTCATTTTCAGGCCTTTGTTCTTTGTTTAAAAAATAAGAGTGTGTGTTGGTTATGGAAGGCTTAGGGGAGGAGCGCAGGCAGACTTGGATGGGAAACAGGCATTCGCTGCACCCTAAACCTTTATTTTCTTTTTACCTTGCATTTGCCAAATGTGAAGCGGCTTCTAGACAGTTCCCTTCCTTTTGGCTAGCCTGCCTCATGTCAGGATCAGGGTTGGGAACTTGTGTCTGCACAGATGTCTCTCTGATGATCGGTGTGCCTGACACGAAGCCTTCTTTTCCACACAGGGGATTTATCTGAGATGCTAATCAGGAGTTAGGTCAAGAACTAGGTTTAAACATTTTGATAGGTCTGACATGTGTAATTTAAAGAAACAAAATTGAGGAGGACAGGAGGAGGAAACAATCATCTCAGAAACTGTAGGAGATGCAATCAAATGGAAAACACTTTGATATGGTTTCATTACCTCTGAAAATTGAACGGGCACATTTCTATGGCCCTCCTATTTCTATATTCCACTTGTAGGTAGGCATGCCCAAGAGAAATGCATGCCCACAATACCACGAGCCTGGAAAGAATCCAACTGCCCATCAGTTGGCAGATGAATAAACTGTGACGTTTTCACACAGCGGAGAATTAAGCTCAGTGGCATGCAAAAATATAGACGAATCTTGGTAATGTGATATTAAGTAAAAGAAATGCACCAAAAGATGCAGCACAGTAGCTTTTATAAACTTATAGATAGCTGAAATGAAAGGAAAACACGTGTAGGAGTACATATAGCTTCAATAAAACTACATAAAAAAAGCAAGGTAATGGTGAGCACAGGATTCAGGGGGAAGTAAGGGTGAGGCTGGGAATAGATTGGGGGGGACATGACCAGTTGGCTGGGGTAAGTACTTCTTTTCCTGGTTGGGGGTGGTGGTGGTGAGTTTGAAGGTATTTGTTCATTAGTAAAGGCCTAACAGCCGATTCAATAAAAAATAAAAGTGTACCAGTTTGAATGCGTCACGAACCAGAAATTATAATTAAATTCTTTGCACTTCAGGTCAAACAAAAATTCCCTAAATGGGAACTCCTTTCTTGCCTCTTGCTGCCTCCACCCGCTTTCCCACCTAAAGCGCCACCTTGGGGAGTGATTATTGGCTTTGTTTTA